AAGTATGATTACTTTATTCCCTCTTTGTTACTAAATCTGATTTAACTATTTTGCCATTGTGTCTGTTACCATGATTCCTCCCTTGGTAACAGACTGCCATTTCCTGATTGGTTGAAAACAGAATGGACATGAGTGCAATATTGTACTGAACAATATCACCGATTTGCTATTGTTGGATAGTCATGTTTGAGTTAATAATTGCAATGAGCAACAAGCAGTGTATGACATTTTCATTTTTGACGTATCTATTTACCAAATTGATTTCAATATAATTTTGCTTGTGTGCACTAGTGTTGGGAATTGGTTCAAATCTCACAATTGATTGACTGTTAGGATTGTACTTTATCAATATTTTACATCTTGACTATTGAGTGTCACCTAACAGCAAAATAGCAATCCTAATCATTAATAGGTATTTTCATAACATTTTCACAATACAAAAAAAAAGAAAAGAAAAAGAGAATGGTCACTATCTTGTCTACAGAAGACAAATCCTGATTGTTGCATTCTATTTGGGCCCTGATCTCTTACGTCTTCTATCTGACAGCAGAGTCACTATCTCATTAAGACTTACACAAGCCACAGATATCAATACATCACACTGTATAAGGGTCTCACCTGGCTTGTCACATCACAAAAGACCATGTTCACAGTACAAGTTACCACACTGAAAGGTACTGACCATTGACATTGTAAAGGGACAAACAGTTTTTTTAACTGCATCTGCAAAACCACATATTTTTTAATCAACACCATGAACCTTTAGCTTGTGTCAAAGTATTTAACGCGATTGACATTTTGTTTTAACGGTCTGAAGCAATAATATTTTTTTCAAGAACTACTTCTTTTGTTGGATAAAATCACCCAAATATCAAATGGCAAGTCCTTTAGGATGTTGTTGAACACAGGATATTGTTTTTCCACACATAGGTAAAATAAATAAAGTTTCTTTCAATGACAGGAAGAGCAGAAGAATTGTGACCTTCCTTTGCAACATATTAGTCTTTTCAACAAAAAATCCGGAACAAATTAGTTGGTTTATGATATCCCGATCCACTGAGGGCATGTTCCCCATTTTCATGGTGTTGATTGTAGTTGTACATTTATTTCGAAGTATAACACAAATGTAGGATTATGAGTCACTTTTAAAATCAGCAAATTCTGGTGTCGGCTGGCCAGTCTAATATGGTGTGTTTTTTGCTTGCTTCTCTAAAGTCGTACAGCATCTTGTGAAACCCACTCGCCCACCGATATCGGAGGCTATATTGGGAAATCGCCACGAAGTACATTACTATCAATCAAGGAAAAACACTTTGTAATCAATCCCGGAAAAAGTTGGTTCAAAGATTCTTGAAATTCCATTCTCTAGGATGATGCTGTCATGCAATTCCCTCTTGAATAACAACACTGTGTCTGAGTATAACCGAGGACTGCGATACATCTTCCGATGCACTTCATTACCCATAATGCCCTTCTGTCTAGTACACCTGTATCTACTTGTCCAGGACAGGTATGACAATGTCATGACAGGTTAGGCAAGTCGTAGCATGCAGCCGTGTTCACAGGGAAATGCAACAACTGTGTCAAGAAACATGGATATTTGGATAATAATTATGTTGTGCCATTTGGTAAGTTAGATTTGAAGCAATATAAATCCACTTATTGCCATAGTGAGTGAGTGAGTGAGTGAGTGAGTGAGTGAGTGAGTGAGTGAGTGAGTGAGTGAGTGAGTGAGTGAGTGAGTGAGTGAGTGAGTGAGTGAGTGAGTGAGTGAGTGAGTGAGTGAGTGAGTATGTTTTTACGCCGCTTTTAGCAATATTCCTGCAATATCATTGAAGGGGACACCAGAAATGGACTTCACACAGTGTACCCATGTGGAGAATCAAACCCAGGACTTTGGCATGATGACTGAACGCTTTAACCACTAGACTACCACACCACCCCTTATTGTTATCATGCTGCTCGTTGGACAATTATATAGCGCCATGGATATTTATTAGGTAAATTGAATTTGGAGCAACATAAATGCATGTATTCAGCTAATTATAATTGATAAGTCATGACAGAGGGCATCTTAGGTTAAGGTCATCAGGAAAAATCAGTCACGTCAACATGTAAATGTCGTGACACAAGATGGCTGCAGTCAATGTCGTGACAGATGAAGACATAAACAGTTATTTTAAATGTCAAAAGTTCAAGACCTGTGTTTATTATATGGGAAGGGGGGGACGGGGTAGCCTAGTGGTTAAAGCATTCTCTTGTCACGCCGAAGACACGGGTTCAATTCCCCACATGGGTACAATGTGTGAAGCCCATTTCTGGTGTACCAGCCGTGATATTGCTGGAATATCGCTAAAAGCGGCCTAAAACTGAACTCACTCACTCACTCACTATATGGGCTTGTCACAATGAACAAATGTGGACAAGCAACTCAAGTGTGCGGTCAAGTCCTCCTTGACATCATGTTATGTCGACAACAAAAATATTCACATTCATGCAACTGATTCCATCTGAGAATCAGAACATATCAAATAGTCGTCCTATTTTCCTCCTCGTTATTCAAAAAGGACTAAATTCTTGAACATTAAGATAAATAATGACCCCAGTCTCCATTCCCTTGCTTACACAGCATGAGATGAAATCGGAGATGTGGAATCCCCAGTCAACAAATGTAATAATCTTTTTTCATTCATTATGTCAACTAATAGCAGGTTTTTACATTAATCTCCTTCAAGTTATCAGCCTGAGCTGAAACTTGATATTTTCTGCAACTAAACTAATCTTCTTTCTGATCACTGAACAGCAATATATATCAGAAACGGAACGACAGCCTTTGTGGGATGAATTCAAGACTGCAGTTTAACAGTTGGGTTACACATGTAATCAACCATAAGGCACTACTTGATTTATGCTTTTTTTATTAATTAAAGTAAGTGATAGTGGTGGCACTGAATACCACATTTGATTTGATGTCAAGATATCTGTATGCTAATTACAGCCAGTTCATTGCATGTTCCTTCTCAAATAGACAAGGGAACCTTTATGGTATCTTTTTTTCACACAGTGATTTGAAAGAATAAACAAGAAAGACATCTGAGATTTTTTTTTTATTTGTTTGAATGAGATTTTGCATTCACAATGAAAAGAAAGAATGCTTTTCAGATTTATTTTGCGTAATTTTCGCAGTTGGTTAATCTCAAAACCAACTTTGAAAGAAAAACATACCAAAATTCTCAGGAAAAATCAATACATGGATAAATTACCTGACTTCAATATTTTTTTACATTTCTTGAAGAGTAACTGATAGAAACAATATGCACTCAGAGTGGACACTGGCATTTGATACACCAAGAACAACATTTAGGAACAATCACATTTATCCATAAATGATATGAAAAGAGTGAGTGAGTTTAGTTTTACGCCACACTCAGCAATATTCCAGCTATATGGTGGCGGTCTGTAAATAATCGAGTCTGCACCAGACAATGAGCATGAGCATCGATCTGCGCAAATGGGAACCGATGACATGTGTCAACCAAGTCAGCGAGCCTGACCAACCAATCCTGGATATGAAAAGAAATGCTGGTGCGGGTGCTTGTACTAGCCCAGACTTAAGCTGGTTTTATAGTTCTAGCTCACTGAGATACCATGCCACAGTGAAGCATGAATACCCCACTCAGACACATTATACTGACTCTGAAGCCGACAAGTCCTTTGTTGTACCCATAAATGCCGAGCCAGGCAGGGACCAACAAGTACCATATTTTAACGTCTTTTGGTATGACGCGGCCGGGGATTGATCCCGCGACCTTCCGCACATACACATACACATACACATACACATACACATACACATACACACACATGCACGTCATCATATGAGCGAAATATTCTCAAGCACGACGTTAACCCCAATTTCACCTCACCTCACCTGTGTCATAAAATTTACGATTCATTTCGTTCCAAGTCATGATTGAATTTATCTTAATGACTCTAGGAAATTTATGTTCCTAACATACTATTAATCCTTTATAGATGTGAAGTTTGCAAATGTATTTTGTATAATTTGAAAAAAATCCCCAAAGCGTTTGTCCATTAACAAACATAACAGGAAAATTTGATAAATGGTGCAAACGTTTTATTTTTGATGATTGATTGGTTGTAATGAACCGATCATCAATTATGAGATTTTAACCAATTCCCAACACTACTAATTATCCAGCTTTGGTCATGCGTGTTGCAAGTAATTTTTCATTTCCTGTCATGAATACAGAGAAAAGTCGTCCTTGTTTCCTGATCAGTGAAGCATGCTGTTATGACGTGTTTGGGCACATGCAACTAACCATGATGTGTCATCTTGGAAGACATAACTTCAAAGATGACAAGATGTGATGGGAAAAGTTTGAGCAAGTTTGTCTTGCGCAACAAAGCTGGTCATATGACCCCCATTACTGAAACGACAGGGGTTCCCTTAAATACTGTACCTGGTATATACCAAAGTCGATTCTCATAAATCATTACATCAACAATAATAACTTCTTATTTAGACATTAACATATTAAAACTTAGACAACACAATTACTGACATCATACATCACAACAATGCAGCACAAGTCCCTTCAATTCTATGAGTGAGTGAGTGAATGAGTGAGTGAGTTTGGGCTTGGATTTGGTGAGTAAGTGAGTTAGCTTTTGTTGGTAATATTCCAATAATACCAAGGTGGGGGACACCAGAAATGGGCTTCATACACTTTACCCATGTAGGGAATTGAACATGGTCTTTAGCGTGACAAGCAAATGCTTTAACTACTACTGTAAGTTACCCCACGACCCCTTATGAGACAGGGAGCAAACATTAGTCATTGCGCAGCCTAATCTGTTTTTGCAGTTCATGGGGTAAAAATGCCCCAAATTGCTTGATTAGCCAATGAAACGCCACTTTCTAAGAACATAAGTGAATAGATATAATGTTTGACATTGTTGTCATGGTTCTTCCTTACCGTCCAGTCAACCGTGGAGCGGAGCTCTCGTTTCTTGTAGCCATATTCCGCATGACTTGGATGTAGGTAGTTAGTGTGGCTGAAGGTACTCTTGGCAATTGCTTTTCTGGAAAAAAATACAAACCAAAATAATCACTTGTCATTTTCAACATGCACATCGAAATGATTACAAGAATCTGTTAGAGTGAACTAATTCACATCAACATGGCCAACCGATCACCAAAAAGATTCAGCAAAACCGTGATACAAATTTAAGCTGTTTTTCCTCTGAACTTTTTGTACTTCTTCTCTCACCATGATCAATTACTGTCGATTTTTTTCATGTCTGCACAGCATTAAGTGTCTCCAAGGCCTTGGACAATGAGACAGAATCAATGGGTATGTGACATTGTTTTGTGTAACAGTGTTACAAGTTTACCCATCGGTGAAGAAAAATTCTAAAACTAACAGCTTTTTAAGTTCAGCGCCTAGTTTGGTAATGCGAGTATTCTTCCTGAACAAAGTTGTTTACTTTCATCATGAACTACATCATCCAAGCATTAAATTGGCAACCGACCCAAATAAATTAGATCATATGATACTGAAACATCACATTTGGCACTCAGTACCAGAAAACATGTCCATGTCGTGGTTTAGGAAATTTAAAACAAAGAATGAGCGAATTCACAATTAAACTTATGATACAACTAGAAACACATCTGACATTCAATAAGAGAATACATTTTAATCTCAAAGCAAGAAATTCCAATATATGTTGTTCCACTAGGCAAAACAATCACTACAATGGACAACTTAAACAGCCATATAACAGTTAAACTTATGTTACAACTAGAAAATAATTTGGCATTTAATTGCAGAATAAGTTGTCATCGCATAGTACAATTCCAATACTTTGTTCCAGAAGGTAAAAGAATTACTGAATGAACTACTTACAAAAGCGAGCCAACTAAAAATGGATGTTTGTCTTATGTTACTTTGATCTCTTAGATTGCACAGTCAGCGAAAAACACCTGGTGTTCATTAATACGCAATATATCCACTCTAACATCAATATTGACACCTGGTATTTGAACAGATGGGGAAATGTTCCCAAGTCGTCAACAGGAAACAGTTTCCAGGAAAATATAATCCTGACGTTGAGCCAGATGGAATATCTCTTCTGTGTTGATGTGTTTCAGATGGTGATGTAATAAAAGCATGTTTTACAAATAAGTAGGTGATGCAACAGACATTAGACTCCCCCAGATTACCCACAATTCCATATTGAACTTCTGTCTACCAAACCAGGGAAGACATTAAGGAAAGTTTGTTGAGTACTGATGCTTCACGCAAGCTGGTCCTATGAAGATCCGGGTTAGAATTGTTTTTCAGGATTCTATGATTGCTGTAAGAGGCAACTAACGGATCGAGTAGCCAGGCTCACTAGCTTCCTTGATGCACATTATCACATCTCAATATTGTCAGTCTATGCTCATGATATTGATCACATGATTGGTCAAGACTCAGTGTGGTACAGACCAAAGTCATATAGTGAGTGAGTTTAGTTTTATGCCATTTTTAGCAATATACAGTAATATCATGCCAGGGGACACCTGACAAGTGCTTCACACATTGTACCCATGTGGGGAATCGAACCTGGGTCTCAGCATGATGAGGAAACACTTTAACCACTAGGCTACCCCACTGCCCCAACCGTAAAGGGGGACCGATGGTTGTCAGCTGCTATATTGAGATGATATATATACAATGTTTTGTTGTATTCAAATAACTGTGGAGTAGCACAAACTGTAACCAATAATGAAATGTTCATCACTTGAGACGTCCCCTATCAGTGGCCTATGTGATCCAGGGCACCAGATAAGTTTTCAACATCAGGGGTCCGTACTCTTTATTTTTTCAAAATAGGAGTACTGGAAAATCTTAAGAGTACATTTAGAGTACAGGGCCTAGATTTTCGAAGCTCTCTTAGCGCTAAGATAGTCGTAAGTGCCATACATTAACATTAACTTACGACTATCTTAATTTAAGAGAGCTTCAAAATCTAGGCCCTGAATGGACTTTAATGGCACAGTAATCTTGTGATTCGTTTCATATATGCAACAACATTGCAAAACAGGTCAATAAACAATAAAACAATACGTTTTCAGATAAATATGTCTGTAAATGATTCTAAGACCGTACACCATTGCTGTGGTGCGTATCTGCTACGGTTCCTAAATTATTTCCTACCGTATCATGCATATTTTGTATCCGTACATACACCGATACGGCCCTTATCTGGAGCCCTGTGATCAAATATGTGATATCTAACCCGTGAACCTGAAATCATACAGCATATATGGTATTCTCTTACTCCTTCATTAGGTGACATACATACATTTCTCCCCTATATGTGTATCACTTCTAAATGCCAAAGATTCTTTTACTATATGTGGTCATCTAAACCTAACATCCTGCTAGTACAGAAATAATGAACGGGTATTGACAAATGAGCAAGCAAGATGGTTTATGCTCATTGAATACGATCAGTATCACACACATATTGGCTTGTCAGGTTCATTTGTGAGGAGAGCCCAGGCAATGCAGGTCAACGATGTTTACCACTTTGGTGAAGAGCATGAGTGGTGGAAGGATGCTGACAGCTCAGGATCACACTCAGGAGATGCTTTCATTTTAATCCATGATCTGTGGATCCTGAGTGAGTATAAACATCCAGATTGTGCCAAAACCAATTCCTCTATCAAGAGTGAGTGAGTTAGTTTTACGCCGCTGTTAGCAATATTCCAGCAATATCACAGCAGAAATGGTATACAATAAAGAAGAAATAGACATCCATCATATTTTGTCCTATACTTGAATACAAACTGCTGTATGCCTCTTAAGAACTTCACAGACACCAGAAATGGGATTCCCACATTGTACCCTTGTGGGGAATTGAACACACCTCTTCAGTGTACGCTTTAACCACTAGGCTACCCAACCATTCCCGTCCACTATCAAGAACTGACCCTGAATGGAAACATATCAGTTGAGGTTCATCAGGAATCATATAATAATCTCTGTTTCATCAATGTGGAATAAATGCGCAAATGCTTTCCTAGGCAGGACCTCAGCAGCTGTTTCAGAGCAGACAAACTCTCGCTCTCAATGATTTAAAACTTGTGAGTCCCTTGAGGGTAAACAAACATAATCCTTAGCATTTCTAAAGAAAATGCCAACAAAAGAACCTTTTCACTTTTTGTTTCCATGAAATGTTAATAACAGACCATCTTTACAGCATATCTTCACTCAGGAAAATCCATAAGGCCCTGTGGTTTGTTGGATATTCAGGTCACCATAAACGAAAGTGTTGATGTTGATTGTGTGGCTGTCGATGATAAACTATGGGTCATAAAGTGGGTGGTGTGGAAGGTCAGACCCCTGTGACAACGTTTACAACCAAGGTGCAACAACATTTGTATTACACACAGCGAGTGAGTTGGTTTTATGCCACGGCGGGGGACACCAGAAATGGGTTTCACACATCGTACCTATATGAGGAATTGAACCCAGGTCTTTCGCATGACGAGCAAACGCTTTAACTACTAGGCTACCCCACCGCCCGTATTACAGAGCAAAGATTACAAGGGGATGAATATAGTAAATATATTTAAACCACAGGAAGAAGGTGTTCCTTTGCCCATTGGCTGACCCATGTCATAGTGGCCATAGTGGATCGACAAGGTCAGACATTAAGATAATAGGTCCCATAATGGATATTCCATATATTGCTAGGAATGGGTGGTCTAATTGTGCATACATCAATCTAATGTGCAGAGTTGCATCCCTTAGCACTTCACAGGCAGTCAGGTTTGGATACTCCCTCGGGAGTTGAGAATGAAAAATAGGAGTAAGCAAGCCCATTGACATTGAAAATAATAATGTAAAGTGGTACAAACTTTGGTGGCATAGCAAATCACCACCATCATCATCATCATCATCATCAAGGAGACTTTCCTAAGTTCAAATACTACATCAGTAAACATCAAGCATCCAGCCGATCACCCATAATTCCAAACACAAAATGTCTTCCTCAGGGTGGCCAATCATACAGCAGGTTTTCCAGACCTAAAGGGTATAGATAAACTAAGTTTCCATGTATACACCATCAGATTTGATCATTGCAGCTTCAATCAATGACTCATTGAACACTGAAACAGCTCTCCTTCATCTCTCCTTCATCTCTGTACCCTTTTATCACGTTGTTTCATGTTCCGGCTGCCAACACACATTAGCCTGTGAACACTATTGAAGCTGGAGAGTGTATACAGCTTGGCATTTACATGTTGTCTTCAAAACATAGTGAAAATAGCTCGATACTTTGTCAGGGAAACTAATGAACAAAAGAGATTAATTTACAAACAGCCTGATAAGGGCCACACCCATCATAGAACAATAAGATTTAGGAGATGCTGCAAGACGCAAGTTCCCAAGGGGATGCTACTACAGGTTCATTGGCAGCCTTCTGATGCTGGTCAGTAAATAAGTGAGTCTGGACCAGATACTCCAGTGATGGATGCAGTGAGCAGCGATCCACCATGTTGGGTGTGAGGAAATATAATCATCATGTCCGCCCATCCATCCATTAAGTCGCCTAGAGAGTCAGGCAAGATCACCCTGATCATAAAATGTAATGACTGACTGACTGAGTTTGGTTTTACGCCGCTTTTAGCAATATTCCAGCAACATCACGGCGGGGGACACCAGAAATGAGCTTCACACATTGTACCCATGTGGGGATTCGAACCCGGGTCTTCGGCGTGACGAGCCAACGCTTTAACCATTAGGCTACCCCACCGCCCCTATAATGTAATGAACTCATTACACATAATAATTGTTTCAAAAAAGCAAAGCGAAATCATATTGCTTCAACTGACCAGCCAGCATCAAGATTCACTAAAAGGCAAAGATGTAAACATCAAAGTCATTTCATTCTTTCTAAGTGATTTATTTCACAGTTCTAATAATTTTGAACATCAGAAAAAGAGCAAAAACTAAGCTGCAGATGGGAGAAGGGCGTATCACAATGAAGGACAATTTTTGCAAATGCTGCAGAATCTTATTTGA